GTCCCTGTGGGGACATCACTGTCACTGCCTCAGGAACACAGACCCCCAACCCAGCATAGGGAAAACTGAGATGGCTGTACCATGCCCACCCCCAAAATATGGGGTCCCTGCACCCCATGTGGACCCACTGCCAGCTCCAGGTGCTTCCCTGGGGACATAAAGGGCATTTCCAACTCCAAAGCAGAGCAAAAAGGGAAATTTGTGCCCATTTCCCACCCCCCTCCCCCAATCCCACGCACTCCATGGGCAGAAATGGTCACTGTGGCCAGGCTAGCTCTAAAAATACCCGAACCCTGACAGTGACAGCTGCGGCCAGGCCAGGGGGACCCGCAGGGGGGCCGGGGCTGCCAGCTCTGGGTGTCCCCTCCCTGCTGGGACAGCCCTTGGCGCTTTCCACCCACACACGCTTTTCTCCATTTCAGGGACCCCCCGGTGTCCCAGCGGGACGGTGCCATGGGGCAGCGGCCACGTGCCTGCCGTGCCCACCCCGGCCCCACGGCCTGGCCGCCGGCACGCGGCCGTCGCGGCACGGTGGCTGCGGCTCTGGCTGTCCCCCGGCCTCCCCGAAGCCCCTAATCCATCTCTCGCAGCGGGAGATGCCTAAGCTGCCTTTTCATGCCGGCTCCTCCGCGCGAGGGCTCGAGCGCTCTCAATGCCGGCGCTGGCAGGAGATGTGTCGGACAAGCTGAGGGGATCCCTCCCCCGCCAGCAAGGTCAAGGTGTGCTTAAGCCACTTTCCCCACGCCCGCCACGGTGGGCTCCATGCCCCACCGGCACCAGCGGTGGCTTTGGGGGACACCGTGGCTTTGGGGGTCTCCCGAGGGATCCAGGCAGCCAGACCCATATTGTGTGTAGGGGGGCTCATCCTCCAGCTCATCACAGCCAGTCTCGGGGTCACCCACCAGCCCCCCAATCTCAGCTGGGGACCCTCTGTGGTCCTTGGCTGAAGCTGCCCCCGCTGCCTAACAGGCTGCCCCCGGGGCAGGGGCACCCCAGGGCTTGGCTCACCCCACACACACCCCAGAGCTCATCTGTGCTCCCAACCCCCCTGGGCGCTGCTCACAGACCCCTCCCACACAGGGAGCCGCTGCAGACCATCAGACCAGTTTAGACCAGTACAAACTGGGCCTGAGCACTACTCCCCCTAGCCCACCAGGTAGGGAGCACGTGTGTGTGTGTGTGTGTGTGTGTGTGTGTGTGTGTGTGTGTGTGTGTGTGTGTGTGTGTGTGTGTGTGTGCGCACGTGTCTGTGTGTCTGGGCACTCGTGTGCCCGCTCATGCCCAGCTCATGCCCAGGCGTGCAGGGGCCCCGCAGTGCCCGTGCCCAGGACCCTGAGTCATTTCTGTTCCCTTGGTGACAGACCCCTGTCCTCTGCTGGCACCTCGCGCCTGCCCCAGCCAGGGCCTTTGTGCCTGGTTTTAATTAGAGGCTCTTAAGTGTGAAACAAAGCCGAGGGCAGGGCCGGGGGGCCCTTCCCTTCCTCTGTGCTCCTGGGGGACCCCCGAGGTCCCCGTTCTGCCTGGCATCGCCTGCCACAGCCCCTCCATTCCCCACTTCTGCTTTGCCATCCTCTGTGCCCATCCCTAAGACACACTTACTGTAAACTGGTGCTGCCATTGCCCCCTCAAAGTACTGCCCTTCAGAGTGGTGCTGGCCACCAGCACAGGGCCATGCACAGGGCCTGTGTCACATGTGATGCCACCCCCAGTATCACCCCCAGGGTATCTGTCCTGTGGCTGGGCTAGGGTGCTGCTGGGGGTGACACAGCTGTTGCCAGCTGTGTCCCCCATCCCTGCTCTGATGGGTGCAGGAGGACCCCACAGGCACCCTGGCACCTCATGGTGCTGGAGGAATCCCAGGGAGACAGGCTGCATGGGCACCATGTCCTGCTCCACGAGGGACACAGGAGCCACTAGACTCCTGGAGATGGTGGTACCCATGGGCCTCCCCTTGGGGACCTTTGGGTGCTGGGAGCAGGGGACTGGCAACACTGGGTGCCCACCAGCATCCCCCAGTCCTGTACTGGGATGAAGTGAGAGTGAAGCAGTGGGAGGATTTGGACTCCTGGGTGCCCCCCACCCTGAGCAGCTCTGCGAGGACACGAAGGGGAGCTGGGGGGAAGAGCTGGATTTGGCCCCACACTCCCACTAAAGCCCAATCTGGCCAGCACCCACCCTCTCCCACTGGGTGCAAGAGCTGGTCCTTGTCTTCACAGTGTCCCCTCCACACAGGATAGCAACCCCAAACCCCTCTGGGAAGTTTTGGGGAGGGGGCAGCACCTTCTACCACCCCTCATGCCCCTGGCATGGCCTGGGTTTGGGGCTAGGAGCCTGGTGACAGGGACAAGTGCTATGAACAGGATTCCCTGGCCACCCTGAATGTCCCTATGAGGGGACACCCCTGAGCAGGCAGGACCCCACTGGCTGCTTTCCTGCGATGTCCCCTGACAACCCCAGTCCACGCAGGGGTTCCTCTCAGGGCTGACTGGTTGGTCTGCTCTGGGTTTTGCCCTCCCCAGGAGAGCTCAGCACCCACTCTGGGTGGGACCATGTCCCAGTGTCTCCCTGGAGGCTCTGGGGATCCATCCATATCCTGAGCCAGCATCGCCCAGGAGGACAGGGAGCACGGGGACAGCCTCTGCAACCCCTCTGGAAGTGAAACCTCTCTATCTCCGGAAAGAAGCCAAAATCCGAAGTGTTTGGGAAGCCAAGATCCACGTGGCTGTGCAGACATCCTTGCACCCCTCCGTCCCTGTCCCTGTGGGCCCGGGGGACACGGTGAGGGTCACCCAACCAGACCCTGCCGCCGCAGGGCCGAGAGGAGCTGCGGCCGGCGCAGCCACCCCGCATTCCCACTGCAGCCGGGGAGAGGGAATGGGCCGGAGGCAGCGCTGGCCGGGCTCCGGGCTCGGCCCCCGCCCCGGCTCTGTGCCAGCCTCGCTCCACCGCCTCCCGCCCGGGACCACCGGGCGCCCACCGATCCCGGCTGTGCCGGGACACACGGCGGGGCCCAAAGGCGGCACCCCTGGGTGCCCCATCGGGGAAAGCCGGCCCTGGCTCCCATCTCATCGCCTCACCCCACAGCACCCCCGGAGTCTCCGCCATCCCCGGGAGCGGGGAGAGCCCCCGCCAGCCCCGCCAGCACGTCCGGGCCGGGAAGGCTGGTGCGGAGGGGGGGTCGGCAGCACCGTGTGTCCCGTCTTTCCCCCCCAGGCTTTGATTTTGGAGCCCCCCCTGCCCTTCCCCCTCGGCCAGGAGCCGCAATGGTTTCAATTACGCTGTGAAAGGCGGTGGGGCCCCCTCTTTTCACGGCAGCCCGGGTCTCCTGCTCACAACAAAAGCTTAAGTTACAGGAAGGGAGAGAAAGGGAGGGAGGACGCGGAGGGAGGGAGGGAAGGGGGCTGCAGAAGCCCCCCAACCCCCCAAAACGTAGCGGACGGGGGCAGGGAGCTCCCCACCACAGCCCCCCTAGCTGCCCTTACCTTGGGAATGGCAGCCCCTCATTCTGGTGCCGAAATCTGGGGTGATCGCCTACAGTTTCATTCTCTGATGAGGGTCTCCAGTGGGTCCCAGTCTCTCCCAGTGTATCACAGTCCCCACAGTGTCCCGGTGCCCCCCAGTGTGTGCTTGACTCCCCAATGTCTCCTGTGACCCCCTTGTGCTTGACCTCCGTGTGTTCGAACACTCTAAATGTGTCTTGGATACCTCCAGCCCTGTTGTGTCCCCTCCCCCCCACTGTGTTCCAGTGTTTCCCCGGTGTGTTCGAGTCCCCCGCAGTGGGTCCCAGATCCCCCCAGTGTGCACTGGATTCCCCCAGTGTGTACTGGATCTCTCCAGGCATATCCCTGTCTGCCTCTGCCATGTCCAAGACCTCCCCACAGTGTATCCCAATCCCTGCCAGTGTGTCCCAGTCCCAACGTGTGTCCCAGTTCCCTGCAGCGTGTCCCAGTTCCCCAGGCCTCTCCCAATTACCTGTTTTTTTGGGACTGGGATGTGGGAAGAGGTTCCCTTCACCACAACCCCTGCTGGGGTGGGAGGTGTGTGATTGTGGTGGGGAGGCAGGGTGCAGGATGTTTGCCACCACCTCCCACTGATTTGGGGACATCCCTGGCTGTGCAGCGGCCTTTTGGGGGTGCAGCATCCCAGGGTGGCCATGGGCAATCCATGGGGTGGTGGCACTGCCTGGCTGACACCTGGGGACAAGGGACGTTGGGGCCAATGCACCCTGTTCTGGAGGTCTCCAGTGGGGCATGGGAGCTAATCCTGCTCCACTGCACCCTAAAGTGGGACCTGGGGACAGTGGGGGATCTCCTGCAGCACGTCGGGGGAATGTGGATCTTAGGCTGGGGAGAGCAGCCTCACAGGTGGAGGGTCATGGTTAGGGGGGGCTGGGGGACCTGAGCAGTGCAGAGGACACAAGGGGGGCACAGGAGACATGGAGGGAGTGCAGAGGCCAAAGCAGGGCTAGGGAACACAGCGGGGTATGCAGGGGACACGGGGGGGAGGGGACACGGGGGGGCAGGGGAACAGGACAGAGGTGCAGTGAACACCGGGGGTGTCAGGAGACACGGGGTAGAAGTAGGTGACACTGGGGGACACAGGACAGGGGGGAACACAGAGCGGGGACCAAGGGGACAGGGGGGCACAGGGGACACGGGGGGAAGAGGCCACAATGCGGTTTGGGGACACGGGAGGGCCGTTTCCCCGCGGCCCCGGCCCGACCCCACCCGCGGGGGGAGTTTGCGCCACTCGGAAAAAGTTTTGGGGGGGGGCGGGCGGTGACCCCGGGACGGGGGCGCGGCCAGGTGGGCGTGGCCATGGCGGGAGTGGGCGTGGCATCCGCATCGTTTGAATGTTATTGGCTGAGCGGGCGGGGCGGGCCCGCGGGGGGCGGGGCGAGGGGCGCTGACCCCGCCCGGCGGGGACGCGGCGCTGCCCCGCACAAAGGCGGCGGGAGCGTCCGGTGCGGCCGCTCGGCTCCCCGCGCCCCGGGACCTCGGCACCCCCCCGGCACCCCTCCGGCACCCCCCAGGACCCTCCTCCCGCCACCCTCCCGGCACCACCGCCCGCCCGCGGCTCCGGGATCCGGCACCGGGAGCAGTTGGAGCGCCAAGTTCGGGCAGGGGGAGCAGCGCCGCGGAGCACCGGGAGCGCCACGTCCGAGCACCGGGAGCCGTCCCGCCACGCACGGTACTTCGGGACACCGGGAGCCGTCCCGCCGGGCACGGGGAAGGTGGGCAGCGGGAGCCGTCCAGGCGGGACCTGAAAGTATCCACACACCGGGGATCGTCCAGGCAGCACCAGGCGCGGCAGAGTTGATCCGTGCGAGCCGTCGAGGCAGCACCGGCCACGGCAGATCAGGCCACCGGGAGTCATCCAGGCGGGACCCGAGTGTATCCAGTCACCGAGAGTCGGCCAGGCAGCACCGGGCACGGCAGACACGGACGGGAGGACTGGCTGTCCGGCCGGGCACCGGGCACGGTAAATCGGGGTGCACGGCTCGGGGCACCATGGGCCCCCCCGGCATGCTGCCCGCCCTGGCCTGGCTGCTGGCAGGGCTGAGCGTGCCGGTGCCGAGCCGGGCCCAGCTGCACGGCGAGAAGGGCATCTCCATCCCTGACCACGGCTTCTGCCAGCCCATCTCCATCCCGCTCTGCACCGACATCGCCTACAACCAGACCATCATGCCCAACCTGCTGGGTCACACCAACCAGGAGGACGCGGGGCTGGAGGTCCACCAGTTCTACCCTCTGGTGAAGGTGCAGTGCTCGCTGGAGCTGAAGTTCTTCCTGTGCTCCATGTACGCGCCGGTGTGCACGGTGCTGGAGCAGGCCATCCCACCGTGCCGCTCCATCTGCGAGCGGGCGCGCCAGGGCTGCGAGGCCCTCATGAACAAGTTTGGGTTCCAGTGGCCGGAGCGGTTGCGATGCGAGAACTTTCCCCGGCACGGTGCTGAGCAGATCTGTGTGGGGCAGAACCACTCGGAGGACGGCGGCTCCCCAGCACTGCTCACCAGTGCCACGCCGCTGGCTGGCCAGGGCACCCCCGGTGCCCCCCGCTATGCCACCCTTGACCATCCCTTCCACTGCCCACGGGCACTGAAGGTGCCCAGCTACCTCAACTACAAGTTCCTGGGGGAGAAGGACTGCGCAGCGCCCTGCGAGCCCACCCGTCCTGACGGACACATGTTCTTCAATGAGGATGAGATCCGCTTCGCCCGCATCTGGATCCTCATCTGGTCCGTCCTGTGCTGTGCCTCCACCTTCTTCACCGTCACCACCTACCTGGTGGACATGCAGCGCTTCCGCTACCCCGAGCGACCCATCATCTTCCTCTCAGGGTGTTACACCATGGTGTCGGTGGCCTACATCGCCGGATTCGTGCTGGAGGAGAGGGTGGTCTGCAACGAGCGCTTCCAGGAGGACGGCTACCGCACCGTGGTGCAGGGCACCAAGAAGGAGGGCTGCACCATCCTCTTCATGATGCTCTACTTCTTCAGCATGGCCAGCTCCATCTGGTGGGTCATCCTATCCCTCACCTGGTTCCTGGCTGCTGGCATGAAGTGGGGCCACGAGGCCATTGAGGCCAACTCCCAGTACTTCCACTTGGCCGCCTGGGCAGTGCCAGCCGTCAAGACCATCACCATCCTGGCCATGGGGCAGATCGATGGGGACCTGCTGAGCGGTGTCTGCTTTGTGGGCCTCAACAACATCGACCCTCTGCGGGGCTTCGTGCTGGCCCCTCTCTTCGTCTACCTCTTCATCGGCACCTCCTTCCTCCTGGCCGGCTTCGTCTCCCTGTTCCGCATCCGCACTATCATGAAGCACGGCGGCACCAAGACGGAGAAGCTGGAGCGGCTCATGGTTCGCATCGGGGTCTTCAGCGTCCTCTACACCGTCCCGGCCACCATCGTCATCGCCTGCTACTTCTACGAGCAGGCGTTCCGTGAGCATTGGGAGCGCAGCTGGATCAGCCAGAACTGCAAGAGCTTGGCCATCCCCTGCCCGCTCCACTTCACCCCCCGCATGACCCCCGACTTCACCGTCTACATGATCAAGTATCTCATGACTCTGATCGTGGGCATCACCTCCGGCTTCTGGATATGGTCGGGCAAAACCCTGCACTCCTGGAGGAAGTTCTACACTCGGCTCACCAACAGCAAGCAGGGCGAGACCACGGTGTGACCCCCCCGGCCCCGCCGCCCTTATGGCCTGAAATATTTTTTTGGGGGTGGGGGAGGAGGAGTTATTATATATTTTTTATTTTTAGATTTATTAACGTCTAAGGGGTATCTCTCTTTCTCTTTCATTTTTTTTTTTTTTTTTGTAATTAAACCTGTAAATAGCATTTGTAAATTTAATTACATATTTCTATTTAAAAATGTGGAAAGAGAGGGAGAAAATGGGGGGAGAGGGAAGGAGAAATAGGAGAAAAAGGAAAGGGGAAGAGGGGAGGAAAAGGGAGAAAACAGTGGAAAAGGGCGGAAAAAAGGGGGAAAGGAAGGAAACAAGGAAGGAAAAAAGGAGGAGACGAGGGAAAAATGAGCAGCAGAGGGTGGAAAAAGGAGAAGAACAAGGAAAAAAAAGGGAAAAAGAGGAAAAGGAGGAAAGGGAGGAAAAAAGGGAGAAAGGTGAGGAAAACTGAAAAGGGTGGAAAAAAGAAGAAAAGGGAAGAAAAATGAGACAAAAAGGAAAGGGAGAAAATACAGGAGAAAGAGAGAAAAGAGAAAAAGATAAAAAAGAGGGGGAAATGAGAAAAATGAGATAAAAAAAAAATGAGGAGAGAAAAAGGATTGGGAAAAAAGAGAAAGATGTGGGAAAAGGGAGAAAAAAGAGAAGAAAAAGGGAAAAAACACTTTCAAGCCTGGGAGAGGACCCTCGGCCCCCTGCTCCCCCTTCCCGCTCTGTCCTGGCTCCCCCCAGCTGCTGCTCTGCTGGCCCCTGGAAAAAAGGGTGAAAAAGGAAAAAAATCCCAATAACAAAGCCCATTTTTCTCACTCTCCTTTTGAAACTCCCCAAGAAAGTGGATTTTTTCTTCCCCACCCCTTTGCTCCCACGAGACCCTGGGCTGGGGCTGCCCCCCCTGGGGCTCTCCCTGGGTCCCCCCACTTGGCCGATGACTTTTCCTCCCAAATCCCTTTTTGAACAATCCTTCACAAATACAAACGAGTCAAAAAAAAATTCCAGACTATTCCCAAGGGCTTTTTCTTTCCCCCCAAAAATCCCAATAATTAAATTGTAGGGGTCTCCATGGATTCTGCCAGGCCCCCAAATTCCACCACCCCGTGGGGATGAACCAGTGGCTCCCTCCAGCTGGAACAAAGTGCTTTGAAAGGGGGAAAAAAGAGATTTTTAACCCAAAAAATGAGGAATTTTCAGTCTGCAATGGGAGGGGGACCTCTCCTGTCCACCCCTCCTGCCCCACTGGGAGGAAATAGCTCACATTTTCTCTAGGATTAGGGGTTTGGCTGGGATGGGCCCCCGATCTGGAGGCTCCAGAGAGAAGCAGGTCCCGACTCCAGTTTGATCTGTCGGGATTTGGGGGATGCTGGAGGGGGGATGTAGGGGACTTTCAGCTGGAGGGGGACAAGCTCAGAACAGGGAGGGGGGTGGAAGGATGGATTTAATCAGCTGGATTTAATTGGAATGAAAAAAAATATTCTTCCCAAAATGGAGAGGGAGACCTGGCCGCAAAGTGCTGGCCACAGGGGTGCCCCAAAACCGGCCCCGGGGAGCCTCAGCGCTTCTTGTCTCCCTCATTCCAGGGGATTTGGGGATCCTGGAGCACAAAGAGGGATTGCCAGGACATTGCACCATTCCCCTTCTCCCAGCAAAGCCCAGGAAAATCCCCAAACCCCCTTAAAAATCCCAATCCTGTGATGAGGGCGAGGTGGGAGCTGAAGGGGTTAAGGCAGCGCCTCTCCAGCACATTTTGGAAAGGAAAAACTCTTTGGATCCGGTTTAATTTTCCAGCGATGACTTGGAAGGGGGAGAGAAGAGGGGGAGAAACTTATCCAGGGCTTCTTTTCCCCCTCCTCTGTGGTTTGGAGAAGCGGTTTGAGGGTCGGGTTGGGCTGGTTGGGACTCCCCCACCCCAGCACACCCTTGGCACCCACAGCACCCCCCAGGACACCCCAGCAGCCACTGTTACCCCACCACCCCCTGCCTTGGGAGCCTCTGGAAATGGGAATTCAGGCAGGGCGATTCCTGCTATCTGTTCTGGTGGTGGCATGGGCAGAATGTGCTTCAGCCAAGGCATCGGGGACCCCCCTGCACCCCTCAACGCCCGCCCCAAGGGTGCCACTTCAGGGGGTCCCCCTTGCCATGGGGGTCCCGGGCCGTATCCAGCCCTGGCTCAGGCTGCTTCGGCTTTGGGGCGCTGCCCTCGGGGTCCTGGCTCCGCCTGGAAGGTTCCACTCCCCAAAAAGCAGCTCCCCCCCAAGGCAGCTTTGTTTTCCGGAGGCGAAGCGCAGATCACGGGGGACGGGGGGAATGTAAACTCTCCACCCAGGAATGCAGGAGCTCCGAGAGGAGATTTTTTTAAAAGGCTTCATGTCTTGACTTTGGAAAACAGAGCTGGGATCTGGGATCGCCAGGACTGCTCCCCTGCTCCGGGAGTGCTGAGGGATCTGGGGGTTCTGGGTACCCCAGAGGCACTGCTGGGACCCATCAGGAGTCCCTGTGCCCCCTCCCTGACCCACAGGCTGCTGTGATGGAGTGGGAATAGGAGGAACTGGGCCAGGTCTGTGCCATGTGGCCCTTTCCAAGCAATTTTGGGGTCTGGGGTTGGAGGTTTTTTGCTCTCAGGGCTGTTTGCAACCCAAGCAGGAGCTGGAGGGTGTCTGTAAGAAGCAGTCAGCGCGTGTCCCCTCCATCCCCTGCTCTGTCACCCCAAGGACAGGGCACCCTAGGAAACACCAGGGACAGGTCACCCCAAAGATGGATCTTCCTGGGAATGAGTCACCCGAGGGACAACCCTGAGTACAGGTCACCCTGGGAATGGGTGACCCTAAGGATGGGTCACCCCAGGAGCAGGTGATTGATCTGGGGAGAGATCACCCCAAATCCAGCTAACCCCAGGTCACCCCATGTCCAAGTATGGGGATGTCACCCAAAGAATGGGTGCCCCCAGGTGCCACTAACCCCAGGGACAGGGGACAGGGGACAGGGACCTCCTCGATGAGCACGGCTGTCCCCAGGCTGGTGACTCCCATCCTCCTCTTCCCCTTTTAAGTGCAGAGGGAGCAAACGCCAGCTCGGGTCGGGCCGTGTCCCCGCCCGGCCGTGCGGGGGGGTCCTTTGATGTCCCCTAATGAGCCCTGCTCTGTTTTCACAGCTGCCGCCGCCGCGGGAGTCAATTAACGCCCAAACCCGGCCCTGCCCCAGAGCACCCGCAGCTCATCACACCAGTGCCACCAGTGCTCGCAGGGCTCGTGCTCCTGGGGATGGGGACAGGGGTCAGCTCAGCCGTGGGGTGACAGCACTGGACTGTCCCGGGACAGGGACAGCCCCGGCGGTGAAACCACGGCAGGGAAGGGAGAGAAGGAGGAACTGGGAGAAGGATGGGCCATGGGGTGTCCCCACGGGGTGGGTCATGGGGCCATGGGGTGTCCCCAGCACTGGTTGTCCCAGTGCTCCAGGGACCCAGGCCGTCCTGTCCTCTCCTGCTGGCTGTCCTGTCCCCTGGGCCATGGGCTCTCCTGGCCACAGGCTCTCCTGTCCCCTTCCCCATGGCCCCCAGGTTCCCCTGTCCCCAGACTGTCCCTTTCTCAGCTCGAGTCACAATTCCCTCAGGGCAGTGGGATCCATCTCTCCTCTCCCCTCCCCTCCACTGCCCCTCTCGTCCTGGTCTCCAGCAGGAGGTGGCAGAGGGAGGTGACAGGGCGCAGGGATGTTACAAGGGACATGTCTTTGCTACGCTTCATGTGTCTCCATGATCACTTGGTGTGAGGTATTGATTGGTATCACTTGGTTCTGAGACTTTGTGGGGACATCTCTGGCTGTCTCCACCTTCTGGCTCCGTGTGCCTTCATCCCCAAGGGGACAGAGCCAGCAGGGACCCAAGGGACCAGCACCCAATGATGCTTGCGGGGCCCCGGGTGTCCCTGGCCCCGTTGTCCCCGCCGGGCGGGCTCTGGAGCGGGATCTGGCCGCGGCCGAGGCCGAGCCCTGGCCGGACGCCAGCGGGGACAGGCGGCTGAATTCGGCTCCGGCCGCGCCGCTCTTAAAGGAGACGGAGCCGCGGGGGCTGCCAGGATGGAACCTCGGGGGGCCCTGGCGGGGAGGGTCTCCCGAGGCAGGCGCAGGATCCTGTCCCCATCCCGCCGTCCTGCCCAGGTGTGCAGGGGTGGGATCCATCCCCGTCACTGTCGCCGGAGCCGTGGGGGATCCTGGCTCTGTACAGGAACACACCTGAAGGGTGGGGGAGTGGGGAATGTGGGGCCGCCTCCACAGCCCAGCATTGTCCTGCAGAGCTTGGGATCAGTGGCTGTGATGAGCTGTGTCATTCTCAGTGTCCTCCCCTGGACACAGGGATATGGTGTCCTGGCTCCATCCCAGCACCCCTCCTGCAGGGTAGGGGGATGGATGGACACAGCTGGATGGACATGGGACTCCATCTCCATCCTGGATAACTCCTGGAGAGCCTGGGATGGATGGACACAGGATGGGTGGGCACACGGGCTCCTGTCTCCATCCTGGTGCACTGCCTGGAGAAGCTGGGATGGGTGACTGTGGGACCCCACCAACATCCAGGGCCCATAGGCCAGACAGCATAGGGTGAATAGACAAGGGAAGGATGGGCATGGATGAGTGGATGGATGGACACAGATGTGATGGGTGGACATGGAATGAGAAAATGGATGGATGGATGGATGGATGGATGGATGGATGGATGGATGGATGGATGGATGGATGGATGGAGGGACATGAATGGATGCATATGTGTGGAATGAGTGGACATGAGGTGGATGGACATGGAGTGTATGGACACGGATGGAATGAGTAAGCACAGGATGGGTGAACACAGATGGATGGATGGACACGGATGGGATGGATGGATGGACATGGTCTCACCCAGCCCCCCCCCAGGACCCCTCCTCGCCCTGTCCTGCAGGGCTGTGCCCCTCGGCCACGCGGTTCCGCAGCTGCCCCGGCAGGGGAAGGGTCCGGCCGGGGGGCCCAGAGGGGGCTCGGGGGAGGGTCCGGGCGGGCGCGGGGGCGGCTCCGGAGGCGGCGGCAGC